CTGCTGGGGTTTTACCCCTTCTGCAGAAGATTCGACTGAGCATCTTTCACCAAGCCCCTGGGAGGAGGCACGGGCACTTCATCCCGACTCTCAGGAGCTTTCCTTTGGAAACCAGAGCAGGTCACTGAAGAAATACTGACATATGAAAACTGACACAAAGCCACAGCATTGCTTGTAAGCTAACACATCCCAAACTGTCCTTTCTTATTTGCCTTGTGTGAACTCTTAACTGGGAAGCGATCGATGGAGTCAGAAAACAGCTATTTCCCTGGGAAATATCTCCTTAGAAAAATCCCCCCCCTCCCTCTTATCTTTTTAAGTGTTAAAAGGACCCAGTACAGGTTGGGGTTTTTTTATTCTTTAATCACATTTTTACATCGTTGTCTGTAATAACCCCTTTGAAGCTTGGATCGAAATATCTGTTTCCTGGTTGAAATTTGTTTTCCTCCATCACCCGGGCCAATTCAATTTCCAGAAGATACTGAATTGGGAGGCACCTGGAACTCCCTCCAGAGAGGCCAGAGAAAAGCAAATGCAGGTTAGAAATATGAGGAAGGAAATAACAAAATGAAACTCAGCCTGGAGGGGAAGAAATGCCCATCTGGAGCAGCAGGCTGAGATGGTGCTTAGTAAAGAGAAAGGAAGATGAGAAAATGTGCAAAGCCCGAGGATATGAGGGACAGCAGCAGATAGGTCTGCGCTGGCCATATGACATGGAGAGCAGGGAGAAATGGTGAATTTGGAGCCGGGTCCTCAAAAGGTGCCTGTCAGTGGTAAAGAGCCGGCAGTGAAGGCATGTCATGGTGATGCTGCCACTGTCACCCTGCAGAGACCACCCGAGAAGCTCAGGGAGTCTGGGATGGGTCCCATGGTGTCCCCACTGTCCTGTTCCAGCCTTTGAGTCCTTTGAGTCCGCGGCATAGCAAGCCCAAGAAAATCACAGAAACAGGTTCTTTGGGCAGGATGCCCAAGGACAGACCCTCGCCCCTCTCCTGGGGCAGGCCCAGCTTGGAGGGGACACAACGCTGCTGCGCTCCCCCTGCCCAGACCTGTCCCTACAGCCCCTGCAATATAGTTTGGCTTAGGAAGAAAAACAGCAGCATAAAAAAATGATAGGTGAAATAGCAGCTAAGTCACACGAGGAGACACTAAAAGAGGTAAATTTATATAGTCTGGAAAAGACCCTGGGTGACACGTTTGCAATCTATAAATAGCTTTAAGGTAACAATATAAAGGAAAGAAGCCCCTGCTCGCAAGGGTGGTAGGACAAGGAAAGCTGGCTGGGAGCCAGGCTCCATGTAATAAGGCTGGTGAGACATTAGGAAGAAATCATGAAAAGCCAAAGCGGTGAAGGTGGTGGATGTTGCTGCTGGAGCATCTTCTGCATCTTCTTGGCTCCATTTTATTCAGATTCCGTTTACAAATAATTACTGAAAGGTTAATAGAGGAGTAAGTCATGTTACGGGCTTGTTAAAAACAGGAGTAACTTGCCTTGTGGCTGTCCATGAGCACATCACGGGAAGCTTTACAAGAAGGTTATCAGCTGTCGTTATTAAAAACCAATTTGACATTATAAAAGATCTATACTGCTTGTTCAGCCACATTGATTTAGCAGTGTTAAGCCTGGGAAAACTGGAGCAAGAACCTTGATCTCTGCTGAAGCACGAAAAATTGCTGTTTATGACACATCTCCGCGCTCGGGAAATCCAGTTTTGCAGAAGCGATTGGTTGCGAACAAATACATAAAACACCATGCCACGGTTGTTGGTGTGTGTTTTCCCAAGCCACTATGAAGTCAGACAACTCTTGGAAACCTTGCCCTCCGTTTTGCTTTCTTTTGCAATGTCCAGGAGGATCTCACCTGAAGGCTGCCCAGCTCAAAGCCACCTCTGGACACTTCTCCATCTGATTGCCAAGCTCCGGTGCTCTCCATGTCTCTGCTGGGAGGAGGAGCTGCAGGCAGGCTGCAAGGACACGACCTACGGAGCTCACAAGTCACTTTTATTACAGAATCACAGAATCGTCCTGGTTGGAAAAGACCTTGAAGATCATTCAGGCCAACCATTAACCTAACATTGACAGTTCCCAACTACACTATATCTCTCAGCACTATGTCAACTCTACTCAAACCCCCCCAGGGATGGGGACTCCCCCCTGCCCTGGGCAGCCCATTCTAACGCCCAGCAGCCCCTTCTGCACAGAAATCCTTCCTCAGAGCCAGCCTGACCCTGCCCTGGGCAGCTTGAGGCCATTCCCTCGGGGCCTGGCGCTGGCTCCTTGGCTCCAGAGACTCATCCCCCCTCTCTGCCCCCTCCTGGCAGGGAGTTGCAGAGGGCCAGGAGGTCTCCCCTCAGCCTCCTCTTCTCCAGACTGAACCCCCCCAGTTCCCCCAGCCGCTCCCCAGCAGACCTGTGCTCCAGACCCTGCCCCAGCTCCGTTGCCCTTCTCTGGCCACGCTCGAGTCATTCAATGGCCTTTTTGGGGTGAGGGGCCCAAAGCTGAACCCACTCATCGAGGGGCGGCCTCAGCAGTGCCAAGTATCCTCATCTTGAAACCCCTTCTTGTCCTTTGCAGAGCAGAGAAGGTGTTTTTGTGCAAAATAACCAGGAAAGTGCCAGGCATAAGAGAAGCGCTGGATTCCCTCACAGGTTTGGTGTCATCCTCACCCCATTGACTGCTGCAAGAAAATGACTTCATGTACCTGGTGCCTCCCTTGAGCACCTGAATAGCAGAACAAGACCCTTCAGAGGCTGAAAATATGCTTGTGGTTGGGAGCCTGTACGGGGCCAAAGTTGTAGAGGGAGCTTAACAGAGATCCTGACAAAAAGCACAGGGTATTGCCACATTCACCAGCTGAAGGTTCCCTGTCCCTCTAGCTTTCTGCCTGCCTGCCTTCCTTGTTTTCTTCCATCAAAAATTGCTGAGGTTGTGCTTTGGGCCTTTTTTACCAGCAAACCAAACAAGAGGCAATGAGCACGTGTTTCATCTGCACCCCACAACCTTTGCAAAGTTTCAGGGATGAGCTGTCGGGGCTCTGGCAGATCCCTCTAGCTCTCTTCTGCTGCAGCCAGGGGAGGAGAGGGAGCATCCCCAAGGGACAGGCTGCTGCCACAGTGCTGGAAGATGCTCTCCATGATGGGCAGCATCTTCCATGTCAGTCAGGATCCCATCAGGAAGGCAGATCCCATCAGGAAGCAGGGAAACGTGATGCTGAGACCAGCCTCGGTGGCCAACCTCTCATAAGTGCCTTGGCTTGGATTGCAATTCCCTCTGGAAGGAGAAAGGCATCACCAAAGCGTCACTGACCATTCTAAACCTTGGGAGCAGCATCTGGAAGGTGTCGCTTGTACTGTTTTTTTCCATACGAGGAAACTCCATCATTAACACACGAAGCGCAGCCCTGGAAATAAAAGCAGCATCTCCTGATTAATTATTGAAAGGGGGAGTCCAGGGAGGAAGGGAGGGTAGGGAAGCTGAAGTGGCTAGTCAGCATCTGTTAGAGGTGCAGAGATAAATTAAATGAGAGAGCGGGTAAGTGCATACAAATCAGCTCACATCTGTAACACTAATACTTCTTCAAAACGCCTGTGTCATCAGATGGTGGGTGAAGCCTTGCAGGTCAGCTGTCCTGATTCAATTAGGTTCACGTTAGCAGGTGCCGGGGGGATTGGCTCTAGCAGCACTGTCAGAGTGTTTCTCAGCCTGCCGTGGACTGGCATTTTCCTCTCGCTCCAGCCCCACAGAGGCGTTTGGAAGCGTCTGTGCCTGCAGCCCAGCATAGCTCCAGTTGTCTTTGGTTGTCCGCGGGGCAACACAAGTCTGGCATTAAAGCAAGGGGAACCGTGCATGGCCCCAGAGCAGGGCCGCAGGGAGCAGCAAAGGCTGCAGCAGGAGACCCGTGGGAGGACCACGAGTAGATGCTGTTCTTGAGGGGGACAGCTTCCCCAAAACCACCCCACTGACCCCCTGTGGGAAGCAGTGTCCGTGACTCTCTGGAGCCTGGTGGGGCAAGTCCAGCTCCCAGCACCTTCCCCTTTCCCCAACCCACTCCATCTTCTCCAAACACCCCAACCCATCCAGCGCAACCAAGACCACAGGGGCAGAGATTCTTCAGGGAAATCCCCTTCCCCCTAATTCACCTGTCAGTTGTTTTGAGAGGATTATTATTTTTTTTTCCCCCAGGCTGCTGCCTGTGCTTTCTTTCCCTTCCCCCAAAGAGCGGCTGGAGTTTCACGCTGCCTGACAGCATCTCCTGTCTTTCCCACCCGTTCCAGAGTGGCAGGTTGCCAGATGGTGCCCCATTAGGTCACATTTGCTCATTGTTTGGCAAACAGCGGCTTAATTCAAGTGCTGAGTTGACAGCTTGTTCTCCAAGACAATTTGCAAGTTGCAGTGTTGCAAATGCCAGCTTGGCTTTTCAGGGTAATGTTATTTCAGCTGCCTTAAAGGGATAAAGTTCTCTTTGATTGAAAAGAAAAAAAAAAAAGAAGAAAAGGGTGAAAGTGGGGGGAAGCTGAAAATTTTAGTGGCTTTGAGTTGGAAGGGCCAACAGTGTTGGTTGGCAAGTGTTGGGAAAGGCACCATGGTTCTCCACCAGCAGAGACTCCTCATGCCCCATCGCTCCTACCACTGAGGTCTTCCACCCATGCCCCACAATCCTCAGGAATGAGGTGCATTTCCAGTGAAACAGGCTTTCATGGGGCAATAGCAATTTTGGTTTATTTTGGAAGGGTTCGGTCGGGACATACATACACGTTGCTGTGGTGTCACCTCCACAGCCTGCGGGTACAACCCTGGGGGGTGATGTAGGGATGATGCAGACACTGCTGAGGATACGTGCACGTCCTTCCCAAAGTCACGGGCAGCAGCAGACACCCCATGGCCTGCTGCCCCCCCCTCACTTTGACCTGGGCTGTGCAAGCGAGTCTTTGCCATCACACGCGTGCAGATGGAAAGCGACACCGATCAGCACCACCACAATGCTCTTTCTTCTTTGACAGGTGGGCAAAAAAAGGCCAGGTTATAAAGGAAGCATCTGGTGACTTCTACGAAACCATCGTGGACCACACCTTCTTCTTTGAGCCCGTCTCCTGCGAGGTCACCAACGCCCTGGGCAGCACAAACATCAGCAGGACCGTGGACGTCTACTGTAAGTAATCTGTCAGCTTGAGACTGACCTCCCAGGGCTCAGCAGGGCCTGCAGAGCTGCTGACAATTAACGGGCAGGGCACACAGCTAGATTTGACATGCCCAGGGTGACCAGGACTTGCTGGGCTCTCCTGCAGCTCAGACTTTATAAATGTTCTGATGGTGGGACTCCTGATTTCCTCCTACCTTCTGAGTGAACAGCTCATGGTGGTGATCCTTGGGGAGCTGGTCATTCTGGGGTTGCAGCAGGCACCTGTCTCAGGCTTTTCTTTATTCAGGGAACTTCTGGGTTGTGACCCATAGGTCCATCAGGACCTACCACTGCTTCCTCTGACACAGTGACCTCTTTGGTTTGAGGGCTTCTGGTTGACACAGCCTATTGCTAGGAGTAACTCCAGTCTCCTCTGTGCAGTTGGGCCCAGGATGGCGACAGAACCACAGTCCCTCCTCGTTGACCTGGGCTCAGACGCGGTCTTCAACTGTGCCTGGACTGGGAACCCATCTCTCACCATCGTCTGGATGAAGAGAGGCTCAGGCGTGGTAAGAACCTCTGCCATGGCGGTGGGGAATGGCACATTCAGGGCACGAGGTGCTGTGTGGTGCTCCCCATGGAGCAAATCCCAGGGCTGGGAGCTCCTGGGTGGACAAATCCTGGACCTGTGAGGCTCCTCCAAATGCAGGGGACAGCATGGCATTGCAGAGCAGTGGTGAATGTTTCCAGTTAGTCCAGAGAAGCACAGGAATTGGTGAAGGCTTCTTTACCTCTGTAATATTTTGGGTGAAAGCATGTGTGAATCTGCAAGGCATTTGGGTGGCAGGCTGGAAAGTCAGGCCTGGAGTTCTGCTTGGGGAAGGCAAAGGGAAAACCAGACTGCTGAAAATCAGAGCCATCGCTGCTGCCGAGGCTGTCTGACCCTGCCCCATCGAGCCACCTCCCAGAGCACACGCAGCTCTCGCCCGTGGGAGGTGTTTGCGAAGGAGGCCTGAGAGAAGGAGAGTGGATTCCCGTGATGGTTCAGGGCATAAGGGTTGAACAGAGGCCAGAGCCTCTTAACCTCTTAACCTCTCTCTCTTAATTGCTTAACCTCTCGCTGACGGGTGGCGCTTCTGCAGACCGCCTGTGTTGGCCTCCCTGGGATGGTCCCTTCTGGCCTCCAGACCTGCGAGCTCACATCCCGATGCGTTCACCCCACCTCTCCTCCGCCGTGGGCTGGAGCCTACTCGAGTGAGGGGAGGCGGGATCTGGCCCAGCAGACTTCTCTACGTCTCTTTTGTCCTGAAAAGCGTAAGGAGCTTTGCAAACATTAATCGCGGCTCAGTCTGCCCAGGGAGGCGCGAGATACTTGATCCCCTCCTTACAGACAGGAGGGCTCAGCAAAGCCACATTAAGAAGCTAAAGGAGGGCCAGGACGTGAAACTTGTCTGGAAGGCACATGCAGGTTTGTGTTTGAAAAGCATCTTTTGGCCTCGTCTGGGCAGGTGTGTCCTGAAGTCAATGAGACAACGCTGACTTACACAGCTCTAAGAATTATCACAGAGCTGGGCTTACATGGGAGTGAGATGGACGGGCTGAGTCGCTCTCCTCACCTCTGCTCCCCAGGCACAGACCGAGGAGGGGAGCAGACATTGAGGCATTAACTGTTGGGGTATTTTTTCCAAGCCATAATGACCGCAGCGAAGGCCATCTCCTGGGAAGTAATTATAGACTTGGGAGAACTGATGGATTGAGTCAGCTAAGGAATCCCAGGGGGTCAATAATCCCTGGGTGGTTTCCCATCCCTGTGGTGGTTGTTTCTCTGGGTTATTATCGTTATAGCCAACACTCTCACACTGTAGACTGCTGTTGCATTTTCTCAAAGCCGCGGGAGTGTGCAGGGTGGCTGAAAGGAGTCATGCACAGCGAGGACGAGGGCTCCCTGCCCCTCGTGGTCCAGCCCCAGCCATGCATCAGAGCTTGCCTTCCCTAACCAGCAGCACTCAGGCTGAGCAGCCTTCACCATTTTTATGGAACATCTCAGGGCTCGGGACAGACTCACCAGCTGGTTTAACTGGGCAGAGATACTTGCACTGGTCAGCAGACCTGCCTCCATCTTGCCAGAGGAGTGCTGGTTTGTGAACCCAGACCCTGATTTGTGAAACCCATCTGCACCCAGCTGTCTCAGTGGGATGTGGGATGAGGACTGCTTTTTTCCCAGTCTCTCCGCTTTAAGAGCCAGGTCCGGATCCCACAAGATTGCCTTCTTCCCTCCTACTTTCCCAGAAGGAAATCATCAGTATCACCAGTACTGTATCATCAGTAAGTTTGCAGGCTCTGCAGAGAGACCTGCATAGACTGGATTGGTGGCCAATGTCAATGGGATGGGCTTCAACAGGGCCAAGTGCCAGGTCCTGCCCTTGGGCCACAACCACCCCCTGCATGGCTACGGGCTTGGGGAGGGGTGGCTGGAGCTGTCTGGGAGAGAAGGGTCTGGGGGTTCTCACTGACAAGCAGCTGAACAGGAGCCAGCGTGTGCCCGGGTGGCCAAGAAAGCCAACGGCATCCTGGCTTGGATCAGCACTGGTGTGACCAGCAGGAGCAGGGAGGTGACAGTCCCCCTGTGCTCTGCACTGGTGAGGCCACACCTGGAGGGTTGTGTCCAGGTTTGGGCACCTCAATCCGAGAGATCTGGAGGGGCTGGAGCGAGGGCAGAGGAGGGCAACGAGGCTGGGGAAGGGCCTGGAGAATAAATCCTGTGAGGAGCCAGGGAAGGAGCTGGGAGTGTTCAGTGTGAGGAGGAGGAGGCTGAGGGGAGCCCTCATCCCTCTCTGCAGCTCCTGACAGGACATTGCAGAGAGGCCGGGGCTGGGCTCTGCTCCCAGGGCATCAGGGACAGGACAAGAGGGAACGGCTGGAAACTGCCCCAGGGGAGGGTCAGGCTGGGCAGGAGGAGAAAATGTTTCCCAGACAGAGTGGTCAGAGAGTGGAACAGGCTGCCCAGGGAGGGGGGAGTCCCCATCCCTGGGGGGGTTTAAGGGCCGTTGGGATGAGCTGTGGGGGGATGTGGGGTAGGGGAGAACTTGTAGAGTTGGGCTGAGGGTTGGACTCGATGATCCCGAGGGGCTTTTCCGACCTGAATGACTCTGTGATTCTGTGAAATAAATCAGAGCCTGAGGAGAGGGTGAGGTCAAGGAACCACAGGCATTGAGTGGATATCTCTGTAATCAGTGCTAAAACAGTGGGTTTAAAAGGGATCTGAAACTCTGTGCCTCTGCCTCATGCCAGGTTAGGGGTGAGACCCCCCATCTTCTTGCTACAGGGAGACCCAGATCCAGAGCTCCAGGGTTTTGCATAAGCACTAATTCTCAGAGGCATCAGCCGTGGGAGCAGCAACCAGCAGAGCCAGGGGCTCACAGAGCAAGGAGGAGAAGTGATGGGCTGGCCCCAGCCTGCAAAGTCCTGGGGCGGAGAGGCAAGGGCAGGTGGGGGGAGGTAGCCCCCAGGCACACGTTTCCAGCACAGCAACACACCGCTCTGAAAGCCACTGTTTGTTTTAGACCTGCCATGATTTTTTTTTAAAATACCACCAGTGCCAGGATTCTGCTGACAGCCTCAGCCAGATCCCTCTGCTTCAGCAAATTTTCAAAGTTTAATAAAGCTGCTAATTGCACTGCCAGGGCAGGAGGGCAGCGTGGCTGATAGCCACATTGCAGCCGGTCTAGAGGGAGGACTTGCCAAAAGCAGCTGAGTTTTTCCCGGCTATCCAGACCCCATTCCCAGGGGGGCTGCCAGCTCTCCAGGTTGATCTCCCACCACTTTTGGGTTTGAAATCCCCGAGTCAATCCTGGCAGCCTCCGCAGAGGGAGAAATGCAAGTGTGGAGCGTGGTTCTCTCAACGGCTTTTCTGCTCTGGTTTATAAGGCAGTTGTGTCACTGCAGCCACCAAAATTTTTCTCTTGTGTCTTGAACTTCTTGAAAACTGTTGTTTTTAAAAATTCAAATGAATGGGAATGGGAATTATATTCCCCACCGCTAAACTGGGTCATTTCTCTATTCTTTGGTCAACAGCAATATTTCCATGACACGTAAGACATTGGGCTCATCTGCTTCATTTTCTCAGAAGCTTCTAACCCACATCTCTTGTTTTACTTTGCATCTCTGCCCCCTGAAAGCAACCCCCTCCTCTCTTCCAGGTCTTGAGCAACGAGAACAAGCTGACCCTGAAGTCCGTCCGCCAAGAAGATGCTGGGAAATACGTGTGCCGAGCTGTGGTCCCGCGGGTCGGCGCAGGGGAGCGGGAGGTGACGCTCACTGTCAATGGTACCTCTTGCTTTCCTGTTGCTATTCCCTCCTGCTGTCTCACTGCTTTGTTCCAGTTGCTCTGACAGCTTGCATTGCTGAATTATCCCCTCAGATATTTGCTTTCAGAGCAAATCCCACCCACGTTTGGATGAGGGATGGTCCTGCCCTGCAGGCGATACGAGTAAATTGGATTTTGCATTCATTTGCCTGGAGAAAAAAAAAAAAAAAAAAAAAAACAAAAACCAACCAACATAATCTAAGACCAGCTTGATTCCTTATTATCAACAGGGGTTTATTGAGTAGTTGGGAGCTGGTGTCTTTAAATCTTTAATAGATTTATCTTGCAAAACCCTTGCAAGGTCAGAGAGCACTGTTGTCTCTGTTGCACAGCCAGAGAGCTGGGAATTGAGCCTGGATCCGAGACCAACAGCCTAATCACTCGCTCCGAGCCCTCGTGGGGATACCTGAGAGAGGCAGCAGTGCTATATAGCTCCTCCACGGCTGCGAGGGCCTCACCCAGCACCGCCTCAGGATGTGGCCCAGACACTCACCCAAGCTCAGGAGCCCTCTGGAGCCCTGGAGTTTAATGATGACCTGGCCAGGACCCCACAACAGCAGATAACAAATTTCAGTCTAAATAGGGAAGGGAGAAAGCCAGGCAGGCTGCAGATGGTATGAATTTTGCATTGTCTCTCATCTGCGTGACAAACTGGCAGGAGTCAGTCCCTGCTCACTGTCACAAAGAGAAGAGAAGAAGCGGGAAAGCAGCACAAGCAGCGACAAGCGTTAATTTTAAATGCAGATAATGCAGATGGGTAGATCCTGGAAACATTCAGTGTCAGGTTGCACAGGGCTCTGAGCAACTTGATCTAGTTGAGGATGTCCTTGCTCATTGCAGAGGGGTTGGAACTAGATGACTTTTAAAGTCATCTTCCAACCCAAACTATTCTGATTCTGTAATGCTAGAAAGGGAAGCCAAGGGCAACGCAACAGGGCACTGAAAACCAACCACTCCCTTGACTTCAACTCAGCTCCTTGGTGCCTGCATGCTCCTTCCCTGGTGGCTGCTGGGTTTTAATTACAATTAAACTAGCTCACAGAAAGCAAAGCAACAAATTAGCACAAACAAAGAACCTGCTCCTTTCCTGACATCTACCAGGCGCACATCTGCCTTGAGCACAGAGAAAGGCGCTCGCAGGCTCAGGGCTGTTCGGAGCGTGCGCCTGGAAAAGCTTCTCTCGAGAACTTTGCAGTTGACGCCACCTCTGAGCTTTTCGCCTCACAGAGCTGACAGGGGAGCAAATGAGATCCGTGCTATGAGTTTTGCCGCTCAGCTTTAAGCACCTCCTGGGAGCCGACCACCTGCAGCATCCCATCCCGCTTGGATGCACTGCGGAGCTCTGCCACCCGGATGTGGTGCGACCCTGAGGTGACAACGCTGGGATGCACCGTCGCAGGCGTTGGACCCTACACCAAGGGAGAATCCCCCACCTCCAGGTCGAGGTGGCCCTCCAAGCTAGGAGAACCAAGGTCGGCAAGTCCCTGAGCAGCATCCACAGGTCCAACATCCACCAGGCACCAGGGCTTGGCAACCCATCCTGCAGCTGGAGCCACGCTCTGACTCCAGGAGCACGGCACGGTGTGTCTAATCCGGCTAATGAATTCTGCTGAAAGATTTTTCTGCTGTAATTTGAGAGGGAAGTTGAACGCCTCGTATTTTCAAGCGATTTTAAATCCAGAGGGCAATACAATTGTCTTGATATTACCAGGTGCCTTTCTTCATGGTCTAGGATTCGTCACAGTAAAATTAGGCGTTTAGAAGTGTCTGTTCTGGGCTGACTGCATAAACTCTGATCAGTGTACGCAGGCTTCAGGCAGGCTGATCCATCCCACCGCAAGCACAGGGACCCCGACTGAGGGATCTGCATCTGGCCCAGTCTGAGCCTGCAGTCCCACCTGGAGCAGCCCATCCACTCTCAAAATGGTCAGAATGGCAGCAGGTGATGCTGGGGTGGGGTGGGAGAGCATCCTCCTGCCTTTGTGCCATGGGTCTCACTGCCCTCCCCACCGGCAGTCTCACCAGCAAGCTCTGTGGTTGCAGACGCGGGGCTGGCAGCCCATCCTGAGCCAGAACACAAGGCCACCAGCCTGAAAGGAAGCAGATACGATTCAGAATCTGGTTAATGGGAAGGAGGATTATGCAAACAAGCAGCGTTTGGCAGGGCCGGAGCAGCAGAGGCAAGAAGGAACCGAGGAACTGTTGGTGCCGTAATAAATCAGCAGTGGTTGGATTTACGGCCCCTGCCTCTCGATGCTCGCGACTGCACGCAAGCCTGGTTGCAGCTCCCACCTGAGTAGGAGAAGCACCCCAAGATCACCTTCACAGCACCATTGCCTGCAGTTGGCAGGGGCTGCTGAGCAGACACCACCACCCCTGTCTGTCTCGCTCGGCGAGGAAAGCTTTGTCAGAAGGGCTGGGCAGCCCCAGATGGCTGATTCAGGATTTAATTTGCCTGGGATTCACCCCAACAAGCAAGCCAAGCCTTCCAGAGAGCTGGGAGCACGGCAGGGACTAACCTGCCACGCTGCTTGGTCAGAAGAACATTGTTGTGTCTCCTCAGCCCACTGAGGCTTCACCGAGCGGGTCTCCACCGCTGCTTGTGGATGGGGACTGTGGGATGGTCCCGTGCAACACCAGGCAGCATGAGCCAGCCCGGGGCTTCTGCGGGAAGCAAGGAGTTAAATGAATCTCTCCTGCCAAACCACCTGCAGCGTTGGGAGAGCTTGGGAGGCAACGTTCAGCTGGACTGGAGCAGGCTGGAGAAGTCGAGGCCATCCTTTCATTCCTCCAAGGCTCCCGAGTCAGCAAGCAGCCTTCCCTTTTGTGCGAGCCGCCAGGACCGCAGAAATAAATTGGCACCAGCACGCTAAAAATAACCGCAACCAATAGCTCCATCATTTATATCCATAGCAACATTGTTTAAAGCCCTTTTCCTGCCTGTGGGCTGTCTCACACTTAGCGCTGAATGCCAAGCCGGAGATTGGCAGCTTTCATAAGGAGCCAGAGCCTGGTGGAGAATCAAACGCCGGCCACAAATGTGAAGAGGCTGCAACTTCATGCTATTATTTCTGGGCATGTTCATCTCACAAATGGTCTTTAGTCATACGCTATTATCATGATGATAAGCCTTCGACTCTGAACCCCTGAAGCAATAATAAAACCCAAAGCCGTTGGCATTTGTGCCATTTAAAATTCACTTGCCTTGGGGAAAATGATCCTTTTAATGATTATTAAGCCATTTTTCTCTAGCGTCACCCAGTCTTGGAGCACTTCCAGAACTTGTAAGTAACATACAACTGTTGAAATAGAAAGAAGATGGCTTTTTTTTTTTTTTTTTGTATCATTTAGGCCTAGTCTACAGATCCCATCACTGCATTTGCCTCCGTTGGCTTTGGGTTCATCAGTGATCAGGGCAGGCAAGCAGAAGGACCACCTAGCACATGTTTAGCTAGCCAAGAAGCTCATCCTGCATGCCTTGTGCCATCCTTGGAGGAACCAAACAGATCCCATCCAGGAGGAAAACGCCCCAGCATGTGTTTTAGGGCCATCTGTCTGTCACCCTTGACTATTGGCACAGTTCTGCTCTTGCACCAGACGTGGGGAGGGAAGGCCAAGGCTAGCTGGTGTTGCCACCTTGGGCACGCTTGCAGAGAGCTGTTTCACGAAGGCGAGGTGCCATTTACATCCTTCTGAGACCCCAGCCAGCACTTCAGAAAGATGGGCTCTCAGCGATGGATAGATGAGAATGAACGCCTTCAGAGCATGACTAGAGCATCTTGAAGAAGAGCATTTGGGCAGATAAACCACAGCAAAATGTTTTTTTGTCTTTTCCACTAACATACCAGCTGTGACCGTTACATCAAAACAAATCCTGACCTTCTCCTTCCCACACAGCTCCTGCTATTACTAATTTTGATGGCGGCTCCCTTTCAGCAGTAATCTTCTGAACTGCCAGAGCCATGTGTCTGGTCACTGGTCACTGAGCTGGTTTTCTGTGCATCTCACCTTGGAACATCACAGGGAGGAAGGACAGGGCTGTATCTCGGTGGGAAGTCTTTGGGGAATATGAAAGTTTGATGCAGAAAGGTGTTACTGGGATAATTTCAGGAGGCTACTGTATGTATGAATGAACCAGGGTAAAGGATTTAGCCTTTTGGTACATTTTTATGCTTTCTGAAAATTCATAAATGAGTGATTTGGATGAGAATCAGTCAGCAATAGCCAGGTAGATCTGTTTCTCACCACTTTACCCCAAAACCATGAGATTTTTCTTAGAAGGAACACATCAGCTGCAGGGGGAAAAGAAAGAAATGGGAAATGTTTCTCAAATCCACAGAGGGTGACTCGATGGGAAAGAGGATGAGCACAGGAAGCTCTCCCACTCCAACCATCCCTGAGACCTGGGCTCAAGACCCAGCTGAGGTTGTTCCCAGCAGTATGTTGGCCTCTTGGAGCAACTCCTGTTGCAGCTCTTCCACCTTGCATGGACACTATGGAGCCCGGTGGTGTTTGTAGCCTGTTTGCACATCGCTCCGCACACGTGCGCATGGTTGGGTATGACAACAGGGCTGTATTTTTTTTACAAACCCAGTGACAGACTCAAAACCAGGAGTGACAACACAGATTGAACATCCGAAGTAGACGAGCTGGGGCAGGGGGAGATCTGCCAGCCCCTGCCTCCTCCTCTCCCTGCCCTGCATTGCCTGCTTACATCCTGCTGCCTGCTGTTTTCTTTTCTGCCAGCAGCAAGCCACTCATAGAAATGCAAATCTGCTTTAATTAAGGAGGCTAATAAACAGCAATTAGGATCCCAGCTCTTGTGCTGCTCCCTTGGGGTGATCCCCTCCTCAGAGGGAGGTGTACCCCTCCCAGGGTTGTTGGAAGAGTGGGGAACAACTGATCCCACCAAGCCATGCTCCCCTATCCCAGCCGTGACTTCAGGATGTCCACCAAGGCAGGACAAGGACATTTCCCTCCACAGTCTGGCTCAGCTGCTGCGTTTGGCCTCATATGGCTCAGGGAGAGCTTTTCCCAGCCAGGCTGGGCTCTTCTCAGCATCCAAATTGCTCAGGAGAGCCCAGTTAATGCAGTCCCAAGACTTTTCCAGCAGAAATTTCTCCCCCGCATCAGGCCGGCTGATTGCAGGTGGCTTTGCAGGTAGCAGCTGCCTGTCAGTGCCTCCTTCTGCCCTCCTACAGCTTCCTTAAGCCCCTGGGGAGCAATTAGTGTAACGGTTGCTTAACAAATCCAGGAGAGAGCAGAAGAGGAACACCCGGTGGGCTGGGCTTTTGCTTTGCTTCTGGAGCAAACAGCCCTTCTCAGAGGCCAGGTTCACCAAGGTGATTTCTGCAGGTTGATTTAATCACTGTTCCAACACCAGGGATGTGGGAGCAGAGATGGGGAGATCCTGGTGCTTGGTGGGGTGGGTGCGTGTGCTTTGCAGAAAACCAGTAAAAAGCAGAGCCTCCACTCTGTCCCTCTGCTTCACAGGAGGTGAAGGAGCTGTTGCTCCATCCCTCCTCCTCAAAGGGGAAGCCTGATGTCCCTCCATGGCCCCAGTGACGCCCTCCCACGTCACCCCCAGTACCTTCAGGCACCCACGGGAGACGCCAGCAGCCCTCTCCTCTCTCTTGCAGGGCCACCCATCATCTCCAGCACCCAGACGCAGCACGCCCTGCACGGCCAGAAAGGGCAGATCAAATGCTTCATCCGCAGCACCCCACCACCAGACCGAATTGTGAGTAGCATCCCACGGGGGGCACAGTGGGCGCCTCATCCACCTTCGGGTGCCCTACGGTGGGCAAACCTACCCCTGGATGACCCCTCTTTTGCTTGGCAGGCTTGGTCCTGGAAGGAGAATGTCCTGGAGTCTGGGACCTCTGGGCGCTACACGGTGGAGACAGTCAGCACGGATGAAGGCGTCATCTCCACATTGACCATCAGCAACATTGTCCGGGCCGATTTCCAAACCATTTACAACTGCACTGCCTGGAACAGCTTTGGCTCCGACACGGAGATCATCCGGCTCAAAGAGCAAGGTGGGCATCGCTGAGGAGGTGGTGGGGGCTGCTGGGCGGTGGGAATGAGCACCTGGCTGGGCTGTAGGAGTGGGGAGATGCTGTGAGGAGCAGGAAGTGCTCAGAAAATCTCTTGGGATGTCAAAGAGGAAATGAGGAAGGATGGTGAATATGCTCCAGCCATGCTAGCTGTGGGATTGCATCCTTACGGTGCCTGGTCCTGGTCAGGAGGTGGGACAAGCTCTGCAAAGTCTCTCCTTGATACAGTATTGCCCTATTTTCCCTGTCCTGCTGGAGTTGGAGGGTGCAGGCTGATCATTCACCCCTCACTCCCCACCCACGGCACAAGGTGCTGCCGCTGCCAGAGGCTGGAGGATCATTTATAACCTTAGAGAAACAGGAACGGCTGCTCCGCAGTGATGGGAGTGAGCGGGAGGAAGGCGTTTGGGCTGGTGGCAACCCTCCACCCTGGCCACCAGCCACGATGCCAGCACGTGCTTACCTGCCCAGCCTCAAAGGCACCTCGAGCAATTCTCAGGGCACGGCCAGGGGATTTCCACTCTCAGGGCTCTCCATAGCAAGGGAGGGAGATGGCTTTTGTGAGGAACGCTTAGCTCCTGGAGGGACTCCAGTTCTCTTCTATTTTATTAAATGCCAGGGCAGGCAGGTGGATTGTTCTCATTAAGCTGTGATTTATAGGCAAGGCTGCCGTCCAGATTAAATCAGAGCTAAATGAACCCCTTAAAATTAGCCTTGGGTTTCTTCCAATGCAAACAGAGCCAGTGGTTTTTCCAGGTCGTCTGCCAGTCAGCGGGAGCTCTCAGCGACTAGCCGGCGTCCCGGCGGAGGGTGGCCGGGCAGCCGGGTCCACGGCCGGCTCCGCGTCCCAGATGCACTCACATCCCTGCTGGGCGATGCGAGGGACATCCCTGCCCCGGGCAGGGGGACACCGTAGGGTGGCTGAGGATGCTGTAGGGTGGCGGAGGGCATCCCCTTCATGGGGACATCCCTGCGCTTGGAGCAGAAAGCGGAGCAGAGGGCTGAGCGCTCAGGAAGGCTGACGTGTGCGCTTGGGCTGTGCAAGGCTGTGGACACTTGCTTTATTTTCAAACAGGTACGGAAATGAAATCAGGAGCTGGTATTCAAGCAGGTATGGAAATCATGAGCTGACGGTGAATGTGAATTGTCCCCAGCCATTACCACACCTGAGGACCCGGCGTCCTCCTGGCCCAGAGCTTGCCGGCAGGGCCAGGCCGGGCAGGAAAGGGCAGGAAGGGGCGTAGGAAAGCTGCAGGGCAGTGACTGGGACACGGACTGGGAAGCTGGAGCAGTCCAGACCCTGCAGTGCAAACCAGCAGTGTCTTTCTGTGCCCCAGCAACCCAGCCACTGAGAGGGGGATGATATTACACAGCCACATTTTAAAGTGCTGCAAAAGGGACCGCTTAAGTGCTATTATGGGGCAAAAAAAGAGGGAGAAGTACAAGTTTCCAGGGTCATTTGCAGACATCGGCTTGTCTCAGCATCTTGGGGGAGTACTGGCCAGCAGCCAGAGCAGGGCTGTGATATTTGGGCAGATGCTGCAGGATGTGTTGCCCTTGTGCCTTCCTCATCCGCTGCACCAGAGTAGAGTTCATGGGGGAGCGCGCAGCCAGCAAACTGCTCCTTGTCAGCTCTCCCTTGTCTTCAAGACACAGTTTGCCATCCCAGCCACTGGTTCCTGTCACTGCCCTTTTGCAGTTAGGGGTTTTTTTCAGCCCAGGAGAGCCCCAGCTACTTTCCCCACCCTGTTCCTTGTCTGATTCTCCATCACCTTCATCACCATCGCTACTTGCTTCTCACTGAGATCGCACTGCAGATCCCACTCCCCCGAAGCTGAGAGCCAGCAAGCACTCCCAGGGACCCCGGACTTCTGTCTCATCCTATTGCTCCACATTCCCCTGGGAGAGCCAAAAAAATCCTGTGATAAGTTACCACCACTGGCAGGAGCACTACCTAGCAGGCGGCCTCACACCACCCAAAGAAGAAAATCCCAGTTTCTTCTTCACAGAATCCCAGAATCATCTGGGTTGGAAAAGCCCTCGAAGCTCCTCCAGTCCAACCATGACCCTCACCCTGACTGTTCCCAATTCCCCCAGATCCCTCAGCTCTGGCTCAGCCCGACTCTTCAACCCAT